GCCCCTAATACTTCTACCCCTTACTACCCAACTATTGTAACAATACCTTCTTTGCCTGGCTTGCCTTTAGCAGGCTCCATCCCTACTCCATAGTCTCTTTACAGGAAGTTTCTGTTCTATAGACTAGGAAGCTAGATCACCAAGCCCATAAGAATAAATTTTCTCCGAGTAAGCATCTGCATGGCTCTTCATGCTTTTAAGAAAATATTAGGTGCCCATCAACTGATGAATGGATGAAGAACACATAGTATCCATCTATCTATGTATATATACAACCGAATTATTCACCGATGAGAAAGGAGAAAATCTTGCCATCTGTGACAACATGCATGGGCCTTGAGGTTAAGTAAAATAAGTCAGACGGAGAAAGACAAAACTGTATGGTATCACTTCTATGTGAATCCAAAGGCAGAAATGGAGAGATGGTCAAAGAGAACACACTCCCAGTTAGAAGATGAATAAATTTGGGGGATGTAAGGCACAGCATTGTAACTGTAGTTAACAATATTGTATTGTATACCTGAAAGTTGCTAAGAGAGTAGATCTTAAATGTTCTTGGCATAAAAAAAGAGAAAGAAATGGTAATTATGTGACATGATGAAGGTGTGATTACAGTGGTAATCACATTCCAATATATAAATGTATCAAATCAACACACTGTATACCTTCAACTTATACAATGCTGTATTTCAGTTATAGCTCCATAAAGTTTGGAAAAGCAAAAATAAACAACAAACAAAAAAAGAAACAAAAAGAAGAAAACACTAGTGCCTGAACTTCAAAATCTCTTTGAGTGCCTTTCTATTTTCAAGCTTACTTTTGCTCTTCATTATTAAATATGCTATAAATTCAGTTAGGTATCCTCTGTCAACACTAAGACTGTATTTTAAAACCAACTGTAAATAAGAATATTCAAGCATCAGTTGTTTAATATATATCCCATCATGCACATAAACTAAGAGAGCTTGACAATACAAGTATGCAATTTAGCACCAGCAAAAAAGATAACATAATTTTGACAAAAGGCATTTTCCTACAGTTGTCTTTTCCACAAACACACTTCTAACAAAAATATGGTAGAAAGAGCCCTGAGCAAGACAGAATCCTATCCAGAGACTACAAAGAGGCTCCCATCAGCTTTGATTTGCTGATACTATCTTCTAAAAAAAACTTGAGTATCTTTAGGTGGAGCACACACACTGTTGCCCCCACCACTCCTTACTCAAATTGTTTCCCGGGGCTCTGAAGACATTCAAACTTGAAAGCTGTGTCCTAGTCACATCTTTAACTATCTTGGTTGTCCTGAGTTCTGATCATCTACTTAGTGGGAATTCTTTCTGTTCTACCTGTTGCACAGGGATATTAGGAAGTAAAATGATCGGCTATCTATAAAACAATAAAAACTTTTGGTGAGAAGATAGTATTAAAAAAAAATAAGCAAAGAAATTACCTAAATTGATCATAAATCAATATACTTAAATGACCGACAATAAAGAACTAGAATGGTTAAAGCACAGATGATTTAAAAACATAATTTTAACAATTAAATTTCCATTTTTTTAGTCTAAATTTTTCATCAGACTCAACAGCAAAAAGGACCCAACACTTCACCTGTCACTACCTTTTGCCCCTTTGTACGAGTTTTAAGGAATAACACATAAAATGGCCAAGGGGAAAAATGTGGGAGCAAGGAGAAAGATAACATGAGTAATCTTCCAGGCTCTGAAATAATCTAAAGAAGAGATGAAAAGAAGTATGTGACTACAGGGGTGAAAAATTAAAATTTTCATCTTGGAGCAGGACAAAAATATCAGTATTTTTGTCACTACAAATGAGTACTAAAAATATCATCTCTTGTTTTATCTTTTCTACACTACACTACTTACCTACATTACTAGATGGGTGGTAAAAAATAAAATAAAATAAATTTAAAATATTCAAGCCACCAATTTACTCACTGAATATCTAATATGTTACGGATATAACAGATTATAGCATTACTCCTGCCTTCAGGGAGCTTATCCTTAAAGAAACAAAAGATTCACATAAGAAATAGACAGGAAAAGCTCCTGAGCTGAACAATAATGTGTCCTACTGTTAGTTAACCATGGACTTCAGTAACTACAAAACCATACTTGGAATGTGTAGTTCACTAAATTCAGTTGCTCTAAGAATTCCAACTTTCTTTTAAAACATAAAGTTTAGAGTCTGTCAACCCTGAATATTTCCTTCAATTCTCCACCTCCAGGAAAAACCTGATAAAAGCATTACTTGCTATGCTTAACAATTAAGGGATGAGTCAAGCTTCCCTGGAGGCCTGAACCTCTGGCAATTTTCTCTGTGACCTCATTGTAACATTTTCATTGGACATTTAACATTCAAAAGGTATTATCTCTACTTTAGGCCACGACTGTGGATATTTAGATGAATAAAACCCAGTTCCTACCTTAAGGGAGTTCACCCAAATAAAAAAGATGCATGCAGTTTTAATACAACATGGCTAAGTATGACAGACATGTACAAGGTATTCCTGGGATATAAGAAGGGCACACACACCAGGAGAGGGCAAGGTTTCTCCAATTTAGAAGGGCACAGATCAGTTTGCTCCATTGTTGGTGATGCTAAATTTGATCACAAGGTGACAGCTGCTCAAATTTTAACTGTAAAGGTATCTTTGTCTTTTTATAAGCCTGTTGGGGAACAAGAAGATGGGTAGGAAGGTGTCAAGTTTCTGGAGAAAGTGGGATCTAGTCAGGCAAAGCAGAGAGGAAGGAGTGAGAATACCAGGCAGAAGGGATATAGCAAAGCACCAAGCTGGTGAAAACTAGAGCATGGCCCTGGAGTGACAAGCAATGTCCCAGGAAGTCTAAGATGTGGGCCATTAACAGATTACAAAGGGCCTTGAAAGCCAGTGTTAAGGAGATTGGTTTACCTTCTAGGTTAGTAGTCTCCAAAGTGTGGTGTGCCCAGAGATGAAAGAGAAATTTTAATACCCTTTTAAAATGTCTATACTTATGTGTAAATTTCATAAAGGACACTATTATATGTATACATATATGACCTACTAACTGAAATCAGGACCATGAGAGGACTGGAGGTGTGGAGAAAATGGAAAGCTCTTTTAGACTTACTAAGTACTTAAAAACATCCAGGAAGAGCTGTCCGGCAGATAGCTGTATAAAAACTGAAGATCTGGGACATCCATTGAATACATGAGAGAAGAGAGCAGTGGATCAGTGGTGGTACTCTGGGAAACACTAACATTTACAATAACATGATTACTTTTTTCAAAAGGAAAATCAGAGCACAAGGAGCAGTGTTTGCCTTTTGAAAAAATTTAAAAAGTCCCACATATTAATATAAGGTAACTGCTAGTCCTTACTATTTCCATTAGTATATGAAAATGAGGCTGAGTGCACCATGAAGAAAAGAAATATTTCTATTAGTGACCCCACAACAATCCAGAATGAAAATTTTTTGTTTTGGGGAGCGATCAATAAAAGTCCACCATGAAACTTGGGCTTTTGAAGAAACGGCTTGATTTACAGGGCTGGGCCAGGCAAACTGCAAGGTGAGCCTGAAACACCTTGCATCAAAAAGCAAGGAAGTGCTTCAAGATTGAAAGGGACATGCCAATAGGACGTAAGAGCTGGCTTAGAGGGGCTTTCACCAAATTTGGGATGATTTGTGCATCACAAATAATAATGCATTTTGACACGTCAAATAAAAAAAGAATCTGAGTCCACAGTGATATTTAAAAGCGCAAGGGAAAGAAAGGTTTTAAATGGAAAGTTCTTCACACACACAAAAATGCCAGCTAGTAAATGTAAAATAAAGGATGAAATGAGAAAGTCCCCACATTACAACTCCTGTTTAATAACTGATCCAGGTTAACAAGCATCAATGGATATTAAAACCAATGAATTAAAGGTTATTGACAAACAAGATATTTACATGGCCTCACAGGTTCTTTCTTAATTATAAAGTGAGACAGACAGACATCACGTGCCTCCTGACATCAAGCAAATGCGAAGCACATTTAACGTAGGCAAAATCTTTAATTTACATTTAATTGTGAAGAAACATTCAGACAAATCCACAATGTGGAACATTCTATAAGCCAACTAGTCAGTACTTTTCAAAAATGTTAGTATTAGCCCTGGCAGGCTTGGCTCAGTGGTTGAGCATTGACGCCATGAACCAGATCACAGTTCAATTCCCAGACAGGGCACATGCCCGGGTTTCAGGCTCAATCCCCAGTGGGGGGTGTACAGGAGGCAGCCCATCAGTGACTCTCATCATTAATATTTCTATCTCTCTCTCCCTCTTCCTTTTTCTCTCTGAAATCAATAAAAAACCATATAAAATTTTTAAAAAAGTATTAGTTAAGACATAAAAAAATTAAAAATAAGTTTTAAAAAAGGCAGAGGTACTGCTCTAGAGGAAAGAATGAAATGGAAGGAGACTAAACTCAATGTATAAACCTTGCCTGAGTTCATAAAAACAAATAAAGATACAAAAAATATTTTGGGAGTAATTGGGGAGTATAGATTATGTATTAGATATTATTGAATCAATGTTAAATTTGTTGGGTATGATAATGGTATGGTGTTATGTAAAAAAAAATAGCACTTGGGAGATACGTGGTGATATATTTAGCAGTAAAGCATCATGAAGACTGAAATTTATTTTCAAAGGGATTAGGAAAAGGAAAAACTACCAGAGAAAAGTAAGAAAAAAGATATATATATACAGGACAGAAAGCAAATGCAAAGAATGTAAATGCTTGCCTGGCCAGGTGTGGCTCAGCGGTTGAGTGTCAACCAAGGATCTAGGAGATCGGGGTTCGATTCCCGGTTCGATGCCTGCGTTGCGGGCTAGATCCCCAGTTGAGGGTGTGCAGAAGGCAGCCGATCAATGACTCGCTCATCATTGATGTTTCTCTCTCTCTCCCTCTCCTTTCCGCTCTCTGAAATCAATAAAGTTATATTTTTTTTAAAAAAGAATGTAAATGCTTGGTGAAGTAGATAAATGAATGTTCATAGTATTGTGTTTCCAACATCTCTATAGTTTTGAAATTTTTCAAAATAAAAAGCCAAGAAAAAGATATAAAATAAACTATATGTGTCTAATTGCTATAGTTGATTTTATTTATATGAATATGTAAATACTCATAAATTATTTAACACTTTAAAAAAGCCCACCATAAAATTCCTTCCCATTAATGCTAACCAACTTAAAAGATAGACTAATGTCACCTCTGGCCACTGTAAGCAACATAATTTTTGTCTTTTTTACCCCTCCCCTATGAGTCAAGAATCATGTTTGACTTATCTGTGAAACTAACAAATCAATAAAACACCTATAGAATTCAGACACCTTATCAAAAACAATTTAACATTGGAAAGGCTGTAATCTTCTGGTTTTAAAATAATTTATTTCATAGATCTGTTTTAATTTCATGTCTCAGAGCATACATTATTTAACCAAGAGATGCTGGACAGAGATTGTAAAAAGGGAGGAAACATTTAGGATAAGAAACTGCCTCAATTCCATTAGAATTTGATCCTACTTTATAAAGTCCTGCTAGGATAAATTTCTATCATACTTCTTTTGTGCTTACAAAAAACATTAACTTGTCAATTGCCAATGTTGTAAATAAAAATCTTTACAATTAAGTATGCATTCAATTGACACAAGGCAACCAAATAATTGTCATCAACATTAGCATAATGTGTATTTCCTGTCACTGCACTAACATTAAACTAAACTTCAAACCACAAAAACATTGTGACTAACATTAAAAAGGCAAGCTGAGGATACTCAAAGCTTATAAAGAACAAATTGCACATGGTTAAGATAGGACATCATTGGACAAGGGCTGATGCTGTGCATATGGCTGCTTTTTTTTATAAGAAGGCCACCGGCAAACAGGGCAACAGTGTCGGCCCCCAGCCAACCACATCGCAATGCAATTCTGATGGAACACATGACCACAAGGCAACCCCATTAGCAAACATCCATTTTCAAAATTCTCTAGACAAACAACACATTCAGTACAGTGCAGCATATCAGCAGGCCAAGTTAACCAATCAGGCTCCATATCTTCATTAGTGTTATATGACCCATATGACCTCCCCTTCCTTTCAAATAGGCTTGTCTGACAATAATTATTGGCACATGAACAAGCCTCAGCACCACAGTGACTTGCTCTTCCTAGAGAATTGTGATCTATGCTTTGTTTATCTTCAAATACTTCCTTCTCACTGCTAAAAGTGTCTGTGCTCTCGAAGTCCGAGTCATTTTCAGTATCATGAGAACCCTCCGACATTTCCTCTTCAGACTGGATTCCCAGACACTTAAATTGCCACATTGGCAAGTTCTTTATATAATCAGTTGGTATCAAAGGGTGAAGCCAAAGGTCAGGGAAAGCTAATCTCTCCAAGTATAAGTCAGGGTCTTCATCCCAATCAGATTCCACAGGGAAGTTCTGAAAAGAAGCAATCGGGTGGAAGAGGTAGCTGGTGTACCAGTCCCACAGACTTGATAACCACTCTAAGTTATTGGCATTGACTTCATCATTGTTGTTGTTGCGACGTCTCTTCTTCTCGAAATAATCAATTAGTAAACCATGTCCAAGGTATGTACTGAGAAATAGGGCTGGGTGTGAAGAATAAAACATCCAGTCCGCTCTTACCCATGAAGCCAGTGTGGTCGTATTGGAGTATCTCAACAATTTTAAGCTATATTCATAAAAGCTATCTAAGTAAGGGAGCTGTAAAAAGCCCAACACTGGTAGCCAGGAAATAATTAATAGAGAATTATACGTTCCTAAAGTGCTTATGAGAACCACAAATCTCTTTATGGTCGCTCCTTGTGTGATAAATAAGTCCATCCAAGCCATAAGATTAACTAGAACCAAGCTCAAAACAAACAAATCGTTTACTTCAGGTTGTAATGAGCGCAAAAATGAATCCATGGCCTGAAGGGATATAAATTCACCTGTGTGATTTCCGTATCTGTAAATTCCTTCAGGAGTTCTAAGTATGTATGATGGCATGTTATATACACCAATATCTGTCATATAACTCCTGTTGTCCCAATTTTCCACATTAACAAAAATAAACTCAACTCTTCCAGTAAACTTTATACTTAGTGCAGAGAAGAAAGCTGGGGGTTGGTCAAGGTTTGCAAACAGGTATATTTTTACCCAATACTGATCACTTTTATTCCATTCTTCTTTTAAATGTTCAGCATTATAAATGGTTTTGATCCGAGAAGCTGCGTGAGTAGTTATCCACTTAAAAATGTGCTCTACTTCAGTCTTGCGCCCACTGTATTCTTTAAGCATGACCTTCCCTTTAGAAGTACTTGTTTGTGGAACAGACATGATGAGTGTGGATCGTACCCAGCCTCTTCTCTTGCAGTATCTGTAAGAGAGTGAACGGTAAGTAAGTAGCTATGCTGCTGGATAAGCTGGCTTGCTCATCCTCACTGTTGTGCAATCTGTCTCCCCCTGAAAAGTTTCTTTAGTATTTGAAAGATACCCTCTCCCCCAAACCAAATAACCTCTACAAAATCAAAAGTAGTACCAGTATCTTGCAGTTTGACAAGAATTTGAAAAGCAAGCTCTTTTTTTTTGTTTTAGCTCTCTCTTTTAAAGAAAAGTGTAGCTTGAAAAGTCAAGGGAATCAGTAAATCAGCATCTTTTATGAACTTACTACTGTATTAGTGTTGATAAGATCCAAAAGATAATAGAAAAATAATTCCTGCTTACCAGGAATTTAAAATCCTATTAAGGAAACAAAACAAATACAAAACTGTATATATTCCATTACTAAATAATGTTAAGTTCAAAAAAGGGAGTATCATTGGAAGTTTGAACTGGTAAAGACTTCATGAAAGGTTTGGGAACTAAACTAGGTCTTAGAGAACAGTTAGATTCAGATGAGCAAAGAAGAGAGAAGGAAACAGATTATCCTATACCCTGAGTCCCTGACTTGAATGCAAGCTCTCTGATAATAGGGGCCAAGCTGCGCCCATTTATTAACCAAACACCCACCACAATGCCTGATGCACACAGATAGTTACAAATTAATGTGCACAAAAGCTCATCTAGAAAATAGCAAGTTCCATATTGTTCTGTAGTCTCTCATCTCTTTAATGAAGACCATGAAGAGGAGTTATTTAACACAGAGGAAACAAAAACAGTAAGTTTTCAGATTAAGAAGGGATTCAGTCCAACGATGATCCCATTTTATAACAGAGTAAGTACAGAAGAATTATCTAAAATTATTATTTTAAAAATATATCTTTATTGATTTGAGAGAGAGGAAAGGAGAGGGAGAGAGATAGAAACATCAATGATGAGTCATTGATCGGCTGCCTCCTGTACGCCCCCGACTGGGGATCGAGCCCGCAACCCTGGGATGTGCCCTGATCACCTGGATCCTAGGTCGACTCTCAACTGCTGAGCCATNAGGAATCGAACCCTGATCACCTGGATCCTAGGTCGACTCTCAACTGCTGAGCCATGCCCGGCCAGGCTAAAATTAAATCATTTGATCAGATTTAGCCAGTAGTGTCATGATTCCAATCCTTTTGGAAATGCACTGATTCTTACTATATTTGTGACAGCCCTCTCCCCATAAAAAAAACTAGATGATGAATGAAAGGGAATACTGAAAAATAAAAATAGCTATTGTATTATAGTGCTGAGATTATAAATGAAATAGTTCTTTTTAAAAAAAGAAAAAGTATACATATATTTTCCCCAAAAAAACCTACCCTGTGGAATTTTATGCTATGTAAATCTACCTGAATGAAGTTGGGGGTGGAGGGAAATCTACCCTGTGGATAGATTTTTTTTTTTTTTTT